TAGTCAGGGCTGTTAGCCAAAATGTTGTGCAAAATCGCATACCAGCATGAAACTTCGTCCACAAAGGTAGTTTTGGGCGCTGAACAAGATAAGATGCAGACCCCAGCTGAGAAATGCCCCCAAATGCTATTTTTAGACTGTTGTACTTGGTCCCAGGCCCCAAAAGCGTTAATTGTAAAAATACTGCCGCTAGTTGTGATAAAAACATGAAAGTTAGAAGAAATGGGCAGTTTGATATGCTCGAAAAGATAGGATGCAGACCCCAGCTGAGAAATGCCCCCAAATGCTATTTTTAGACTGTTGTACTTGGTCCCAGGTCCCAAAAGCGTTAATTGTAAAAATACTGCCGCTAGTTGTGATAAAAACATGAAAGTTAGAAGAAATGGGCAGTTTGATATGCTCGAAAAGATAGGATGCAGACCCCAGCTGAGAAATGCCCCCAAATGCTATTTTTAGACTGTTGTACTTGGTCCCAGGCCCCAAAAGCGTTTACTCTAATATTGTTGCTGCTAGTTGTGATAAAAACATGAAAGTTAGAAGAAATGGGCAGTTTGATATGCTCAAAAAGATAGGATGCAGACCCCAGCTGAGAAATGCCCCCAAATGCTATTTTTAGACTGTTGTACTAGGTCCCAAGCCCCATAAGTGTTCACTCTAATATTGTTGCTGCTAGTTGTGATACCAGCATGAAATTTGGTAGAAATGACAGTTTGCACTGCTGAAGAGACATGCCCATCCCACATATAAAATGCCTCAAAAAGCAATTTTTGGAATGGCTATTTGATATCCCGTTCAGGCATAAGACAATAACAACTTAAACATGCACAAGGGTAACAAAGATATACATTTGTTGTCCTTATTCATTGGCATCCGAGCATTGTCCTAAACATTTGCAGAGCTCAGTACATTCAAGATTATATTGTTTGCATTTGCATCTTGAAGAGCAATTCCTCTTACAGCTGCATTTAACAAGTTCATAGCATGCTTGCGAGGCTTCTGCATTCAACATCCACTTTGGTGATATCTCATTTTCGTTTTTCTTCCATCCCCAGTCATTAACATCTGGTATTTCTTGCCATCTCTGAAGTGACTGTCGCCAGATTATGCTACGACAAACATATGGTTTTAACATTATTCACAGGCAAAATTATGAATGAAGAAAATCTCTGTTGATGTTATCCAAATGCATTTTCAGAATCCCTTCAATTCTGCGAGCGTTCGGCAGGATATTCGCAATTTTTTCAGGGTCTTTGATTTGTGAAAACCATACAGAAAAGAAATTAAATGCGTTTCAGAATATTTAAAAAAACATAATTCGGTTCTTGCTAACGAGCATAATTCAAGACTAGATAACGAGAATGTCCTCGAACTTTCGTGTTTTAGACATGCAGTTACGACATTTTGTGCTGCTGTTATCGAAAGTTTATTACACGGCGGCATAATTCGGCTATTCAAAAAACATTGAGTGAAATTATTTACCCGCCTTGCAGTATAGCTCTTCTTGAATGTTGAGCCAGTGCATCTCTTGTGGGTGGAATACTTTCGATATCGCGTCCTTTTGAGGTGAATAGTGCTCTTCGACACGCGTCTACGCTGTGTAGCGAGCTTGATCTGTCGTATAGCAGAACTACATAGCGTTCAAGCAGTTTCAGATCGTCTTCGTCCAGTTGGTGCCTTTCAAACTCTGATAACCTGGACGAAAAGTTAGCTTCTAGGTATTTTATTGACAAAGACGTCGAAAACGAACAGCATCAAATGAATTATAATGAAAGCTACTGAAATGCCCACGTTTTCATACCAATGGGGATGAGCATCAAAGTAAAAAAGTTATAAGAAGATAGCTTTTCTCATTTAACAAAGCAATCTAGAATAAAAAATAATTCCTGTGAGGTGATTCTGCACACTGCAGGAAAGATAAATAAGAAGGAATATGTATAAAATCCTTCGACTTCTATAAGGTTTTCAGAACTCGATAAATTTAATTATCCGCCAATCGAATATTGCAGAGTTGTGAAGAATATTAAGCAAAGCTTATTTGAAATAGCAAATACCTCAAGAAGACGTTTGTTGCATCTGGATATGCTTTCCATGTATCCCATGCCATTTTCTTCCCTCGGCCACCAAACGAGGACACTGTGTCGCAGCCTGTAAATGCATACCAAAAACGAATTGCAGCACAAACTTGAGTTCCAAGGTTAACAGCATACTCGTGAACTGGAAGCCAACGTTTGTGAATACCAGCGCCAAACTCTATCCAAAGCTCTTGAATTTGCAATTTGTCGAACATTGACAGGGCTATGACTACAACATCAGTATCAACTGTTCGTATGCAAATCTTGAGATGGCCTGATCTAGCAGCGTGTAGAGTGTGAAGAAAAATCCTGGTATCGGCTTCTTCGTGGTTGCATGGTGCAAGAGATGCTAAGTTGACCAAAAAATTATTGCAGATTACGTTTTCAAGAGATGTTGCAATAATGGTGTTTTCATTTGTATTTTGCTTTCCAAGCTCTCTTGCCAGCATCGTAAATAGCTCCTCTTTGTTCATATCAACTCGAAGAAACTGACGCCAGTGTTTGCAAATAGGTGTTGATTCACGAACAGATATCCGTATACCATCTCCCCTCTGTTTCCTTGCTTCAAATTTGAGACTTTTTGGCAAGTACCGATCGAAAACGACGTCTACTCGTCGGCGACTATCCGCTAGTAGCTCTTGGAGAACCTTTGGTACAAATATCTTCGAACAATACTCTCCGAATGTTTGAACATCCCCTGGCAGAGTCATTTGAACCAATGCTGCACCATCAATCACTGTGGCTGTAGTTTTTGGGCACTCGTATCTTGCGTCGCCATATGTTTCGAGGATTTTAAGAACGTCTGCTTTGTTCCCTTTCCTTAGCTTGCCGTATTCCGATAATGATGGAGGATAGGCATGATTTTCATGCGAGAAAAACTTCCCAAGATCGCCTTCTCTCGACTGGCAGGCAACATAGAATGATGCAAATAGCTTGCGATCTTGTTTTAATGAAATAGCTTGAAGCTTTGACTTTGAACTGGTGATTGAATTTCTCTGCCTGAACAAGGAGAGCTTGTTTCTTGAGATCGCTGAATAGATGGAAACTTTACACCTCACAAGCCTTTCAGACACATATTGCTGGTATTGGTTCTCTCCAATAACTGAGGCTAACCGGACTGATTCAGCAGCCCTTTCATTCATTATGTTTCTAGACACAGAATTGAGAAGTATATCATTCTCTTCAAAAGGATTGCCAAGCTCTTCAAAAATGTTTTTGAATGAAATGACATCTTGACGAAAGCGCTTTTCATGTGCATCAGTGTCTTCATGATGGCTGAGGTTTTTATCCTCTTTTTCCGTTGCATCTTCAAATAATTCAAGTAACCTTGCAATCTCAGGACCTGCAATCATCCACTTGATCAATGCAGTTGCGTTGTCTAGAATGCCTATTGCTCCACCATCAATCTTTACAGTCTTATTATTCTGCTCATGGGCCTGGTCTTCGGGCATACTAGAAAATTTTCTCTTGGTCTTCTTTGATGTGAAATGGCCTTTCTTGAACTCTTCATAGATCCGGGGATGCTTTTCTTTCAATTGCTTGAGATCATTGATGAATATGGGTAGCCATCGTGCGTAATGAGTGTGGTCTAATGAGAACATCCATGGTGCAATCTGCTCAAGAGCACTCACAAACATATCAAAGTTCGATACTCGAACACTATAAATCAAAAGAAGCAGAATTGACTCCAATTCTATTACTTTGTGCCAATACTTGAATTGGACTGATTCTTCAAGGCGTTTAGATGTCCAGCTTTCTAATGAATGACCGGAATTACTTCGAAGATGGGCCATTTGGAGTAGCAAATACAGGCCTGCACAAGAAACTTGATGTGTGTATCTTGCTCGCTTTACTTGCCTCCCTGATAGAAATGACTCTGCACGGCCGGGTGAATTGATCTGCGCTTTTACTAAAATTTCTGTCCAGCCACTTCCTTCTAGCCAGTCACCTATAGCATCTAAAAAAGCCATCTCAATATGCAATGTGCCAAGCATCATCAGCAAATTATCTTCCCCGTAAATTGCTGGGTACATCCATTGAACTTGTTTTCCCAAAGCATACACTGGTTGATCAGCAGTAATAACAGGTGCTTGATTGGAATTTAACCCTAGCAAAATGCTCTTGATAATGTCCATCGTATGACGTACCATTGCAGAAGAATTTACCGAATCTTTCAGTAATGGAAGTAGTGTTGAAAGTGACCTTACTGGAGTGTCGCGGACTCTGTGTGCATGAAATCCAGACCATGATAAACGATTTTTTATATCGAAAGTGCTGTTTCCTTCGTTGAGTGACTTTAAATTTGAAAGCCATTCTAAAGATTCATCCGTTGCCTGTTTAGTGAGGACACTATTAGGATTCACTGACTGCAAAGGAAATTCGGCTGCAAAACTTTTGGTTGAAGGAAGTGAAGTGTAACTTTCTGGAAGCTTTAGCTCTACATTAGAAGATTGATCGTTTTCTCGCAAACCTGGTAAATGCATCTGAATCTCTGAATCGGGGTGCTGGAAGATCGAAATACTGGTGCCATGGAATGAGTTGGCTGCTGTGACAGATGAAGGGTTGTGATCGATGTTATCAATTGCAGCAGTGGTGAATAGTCCTTCCTTCAGACACGGTGGAGAAACAATGCCTTGCTGCTGGTATTGCTGGCAAACTTTCTTTGCAATTGAGGTTTGGACATGCTGTACCCGATCGTAGGAGACGCACATTCCATATTTTGCGAGGCGGCCAACGAGTCCTTTCTTTCTTGTTTTAGAATGAATCATCAACCCAAGGTAAAGTGGAAACGGCGTTTCTTGCTCTTTGCTATGGCGGGCTATTTCATTAGTGGTATTTGACCGCTTACCTTTCACCATATTGAACTTCACTAATTGGGCTATTGTGAGTGAAGCCTTATGTGCTGATGTAGGTAATGAATCAGTTATGCATGTTCCGCTAATGAGCATACTGATGAAAGTGACAAGAGATGGGGGTACTGAAGCTTTTTGAGATGCAAGAAATTGGGCAGGGTCCTCAATCTTATGCAAAAATACATGTTTCCTAATGATATTGGCAGCTTTAGAAAGGCAAATTCCATCATCCTGGTCATTCTCTAGACATGCCTGATAAATCGCGGTACCTGTTTCTTCCTTGGGTGTTAGGAGAACATTGTTTCCTTGCTTTTCTTCCTCGAGCTCTGGGATGTGATGTAAGATGTCATTCTTCAA